GGGGGGGAGGGCAGAGGAGTCGCAAAAGAGTAGTGGTGGTATAATGGTGAGGGAAGGCGCAAGGCAGCAAAGGGGGGCGAGTGATTTGCCGCCTTTGTTTCGGGGAATGCACTGTTGGAGAAGAAGGGGGGGGGAGGAAGTCGGGGGGAAGGGTGGTTTAATCGCGCAGCAGGGTGTTGACGTCGAGGGCTATTTGTGGCGAAATAGGGCGGAATAGCCCGTTGTTCTCGATTTATGCGTGTCATCCTTGCGCAGTGGTCATGCTAATCTATCTCCGCTGTATCGTTCCAATTTTAATGGATGTCCCGAAGGACGGGAAAGTCGAAAGTGATGTGGGCCGGAGTGGAGTGCATGCGTGTGCAGTTGCTTGAGCGGCATGTTGTTGGCGCACATATTTGTTTTGTTTTTTTTTTCCCTTAAATTCAGTGGTGTACATATGGGTGCTTCTTTCCTATTTTGGATTTTTTTTTTGTGTCGTGTGTTAACTGAGGGAATTCCTCGTGACTGGACGTTTTTTCCCTTGGAAAATCGTATTCTGATACAGAATTTTGCACTGGGAGCGCTAGGGAGGTGGTTGAAAACTCCCTCTACTCTGTTCCGGCGGCACATCGTCAAAGCCGGGACGACTTTGCCTTTGCAGAGGCGGCCAGCGCCGACAACTGGGGGTCAATCGCCGGAGGCTCCTATCGCACGCACACACACACACACACACACACACACAGAGAGAGAGAGAGAGAGAGAGAGAGAGAGAGAGAGAGAGAGAGAGAGAGAGAGAGGATGTTCAAGTAAGGCGAACCCAGGGTGGTTAGAAGGGTTGCGATCAAGGCGGTACGTAGGTGGGCAACACAAGAGAGAGAGAGAGAGAGAGAGAGAGAGAGATGGAAGAAGAGGGAGCGCATACGAGCTTGGGGGGTTCGGGTGGAAGCAATGATGTGGCTCTCTCTGCCGATCGGGAAGGTCAGGCGGGTGGAGGAGTTGAGGCGGGCCGTAATTTGAAGCAGGTCGGCCATGGTGATGAGCATTTGGTCGGCGCCGACGTGGCAGAGCAGCGGGAAGGGGCTGCTATGCCTGCAGCAGATCCCGACGGGAGGAATGCACCAGACGGGACTGGAAAAACACAATCTCTAGCACCCAACTCCACAGCGCAGTTCTCTTTCTCGCGTCAAGGCGATGAAAGTTCAGCGGCGGCTCCTTCTTACCCCTCTTCTCATCCTTCGCTCTCGGAGAATGCACCTGTAAAATCGGGCGATGGCGGCCTTTCTGCGGCCAATGTACTCTCGACCGGAATCCCCGAGGACACGGGGGAAGGAGGAGGAGGGGGAGGGGGAGGGGGAGGCAGCAGAGGCGGCGGCGGCGGCGGAGGAAGTTGGGAAGAGGTTACTGTGGCTGATAGAGAGGGAACCTGCTCTCCCTCTCCCGCCTCTCTATCTTATGCCTCTTCGTCACCCAAGCCTCAACCTAGCCCTATTGCGTCCCCCTCCTCTATACGCCATTCCTCAGCCACGCGTTCGTTCGACAGACTGTCCTCTCAATCGAGTGTCGGTACGGGACCGATCCTCCCCTCGGTTGCCCATCAACTGATGCGACTCATCGACTCAGCAATCCAGGAGAGCGATCCCAACGCGCTTGATAAGCTGAGAAAAGTGGTAGCCGGTAGAGAAGGGTTGGAAGGGGAGGGAGATCTTATCGAAGGGATTACAGTGAATGCGGACTCCAATTACGCCCGCCAGGTTGTGGACGTGTTGACAATGAAGATGGGAGGAGTACCCCCTTCAATGGAGGATACTGTGCAGCTGGACAGAGGAGCGGATTCAACAATTCCTCAAGTAAGTTGTACATCATTTTCTATGGTGACTATAACTTATTCCGTCTCTCCCATTCTAACCCTACATTCTTCCCCCGAATAGAAAACCAGTTCATTATTGATGTATCTAGGCTGAAAGTTGCCCCAAATGCAGCTATAATTAACAGGGAGGAGCGGATTCAGCAGGCAGTTCCTCGAGCGAGTGGGTTGTCGATCGTTTTGTATGGCGACGACCTTTCTTTCCTCTTTCCCATTCCTAACCCTAGCGTCGTCACCCGAATAGAACACGCGGTCATGATGGCTGTATTTAGGCTGAAAGTCGCCCCAAATACAGCAGCAGCTATAATGACCGGGCGTTCTATTCGGGTGAAGACGGTGGCCATTCTGCAGGCTTGATCCTCTCAATTCGGAGCTTGTGCACTCTCTTCTCTCTTCTCGTCCTCAACCTCCTTTCCGGTCGTTGGTCCCTTTCCTCCACCCGTTTCCTCCCTTTGTCCCCCCGTTACCCGTCGGCGTCTCACCGTTACCCCCCTGTTAACCGCCGTTACTGCTCGTTACCTGCCATATTCTACTCTCTCTTTCCTCGGCTATCCTCGGATTGTCCCTCAAGAAAATTGCAGGTAGGTTCTCTTTGGCGATCCTCTCAATTCGGTGGTTGTGCATTCTTCTCCTCCTCCCGTCGTCCTCATCCTCGTTTCCTCTCGTTGGTCCCTTTCGTCCACCCGTTTCCTCCTTTTGTCTCCCCGTTACCCGTCGGCGTCTCACCGTTAACCCCCTGTTAACCGCCGTTACTTCTCGTTACTTGCCATTTTCTACTCTCTCTTTCCTTGGTTATCCTTGGATTGTCCCTCAAGAAAGTTGCAGGTAGGTTCTCTTTGGCGATCCTCTCAATTCGGAGGTTGTGCATTCTTCTCATCCTTCTCCTCCTCCTTCTCCTCGCCCTTATCCTCCTTTTCCTCCACCCGTTTTTCCCCTTGTCTCCCCGTTACCCGCCGGCGTCTCACCGTTAAACCCCTTATTAACCCCCGTTACTCGTTACTCTGCCGTTTTCTACTTCGTCTTTCCTCGTTATCCTCGGATTGTCCCTCCTCAAGTAAGTTGTGGGTAGGTTTTCTATGGCGACTCCCTTTCCTCTCCCTCGTTCTACGGTGAAGGAACGATCCTCTCAGTCCCGAGGTTGTGCATTCTTCTTATCCTTTTCCTCCTCTTCATCCTCCTCCTCCTTTCTGCTTGTTGTTCCCATACCTCCACCGTTTTCTCCCGCTTCTCCCCGTTTCGCTGCGTTACCTACCCTCCTCCCACCCCAAGTTACCCCCGTTACCCAACATTACCTACCGTTTGCTCCTGCCACCCTCAAGTCAGTTGTATATTATGGTATCCTTATGGTGTCTCCCCTTCCGCTCTTCCATCTTTATCCCTAAGCTGTGCCGCCGCGTGAGATCCTTCGCCTCTTCTTTGAAGTATCCGGAAATCCATATAGTGAAAGATTGCAGAGCATACCAACTGGCCTAGCTCAGTTGGTGCACCCCCCCTGGACTGAACTGTTGAAATGCAGACCTGAATTCGAATTCCATTCGAAAAGAGTGCAGAGCATTCGGGAAACTTAAGAAGTAGTTTCCGCAACCTGAAATCAACGCAACCGAAGTGCATTTCACTAATCAGTCGTTGTACAGTGGAACCTCTGTGAGATTGTATTCCATAGGGTGGAACCTCTCAAGTCGAAGGTCTACATTCTACTGTACTGTCTTTGCTGTGCTCAGGACGGATCGTCAGGTGAATGCTTAGACCCCTGATTGAATCCTGGTGCAATGGTGGATTGATTAAGTCCGAGCTTTGATGAGGGCGAAACGGTTTGGGGAATGTGCGCGGTTGAGCTTTTGATTATGTTAGAGCGAGTGCATTAATGACATTTCTAGCATTTTTGTGCGTGGGATGGTTAGGGATTGGCGGAGCTATTCTCTATTCCGAATTGTGAATTCCATCCTCTCCTTCTGCTCGTTGACGTCCTCCTTTTCCCTCGTTGGTCCCGTCCCTCCCCACCGCTTTCTCCCTCGTCTCCTCTTGAGCCACCGTGTACTCCCGCGTCTCTCCGTTACTTACCGTTTAGTCCTGCCGCGTCGCCCCTTTAGCCGCCGTTTTCTCCGGCTTAGGGAGAGTAGTGAGAGTACGCTCTGCTAACGAAGCATGGCGGGTTAAGAAGTGATTATTTCCATTGCGTGTGAAGAGCAATTTTGCCATTTGCTTACGTTCTTCGTCTTGTCCTCGTTACGAATGGTTTCTCCCGACCTCAAGTAAAGTTGTATATCGTTTTCTACTTTGACTCCTCCTCCCTCTTTGACAGAAGTGGATTGGTTTCCACGTGCCCTTATGTTTTTTTCGGCGGTATCCATGAACTTCAGCATAGACCGAATAGCTGGCAAGCCTTTTCCGCTCTTTTCCAACATGCTGCGATCCCCGTCGAGTTGGTCCCAATTGGGAGAGTTGGATGCTTGAAGCCACATTGCGCAATGGGAGTGACGTTGGCTACTTCTCTGGCCACTCTGAACGGTCGATCTTCTCAATCAGGAGGTTGTGCATTCTCTTCCTGCTCTTCCTTCCTCCTCCTCCTGATTGTGCATTCTCCTCTTCCTCCCTCCTCCTCTTACTCCTGCGCTTCCTGCTCTTCCTCGCCTTCGTCCTCGTCTTCATTCGTTGGTTCTTGTCCTCCACCGATATCTCCCTTCTCTGCCCGTTAGCCTCCGTTACTCCTTAGCATACCTTTTTTTTTTTTTAATTTTTTTTTTTTTTTTAATTTTATAAAAGGTGACGACCTTGAGATTTCATCGTAGATTTCATCGTTTGAATTGACCGGCCCTAGGTAATTCAGAATTGCAGTACTTAAAAAAAAAGGGTCTGTATTTCAACAGTTCAGTGGTGTACCAACTGAGCTAGGCCAGTTTGTCCTTAGCGTATCTTTCGTGTTCTCCCCCTTTTCCCGTTTTGTCCTCCACCTGCCCGCTCTGGGTCTGCTTGTCGGATTGACTCCCCCTTCCCATCTCCTATCCCTTCTCTCTCTGTGGCCACTCTGAACGGTTGATCCTCTCAATTAGGAGTGTTTTGCAGTCTCCTCTTCTTCCTCCTCCTCCTCCTCCTGCGGCTGCTCTTCCTCGTCCCCGTCCTCATGTTCATTCACTAGTTCTTTGCCTCCACCGTTATCTCCCGTCTCTGCCCGTTAGCCTCCGTTACTCTGTCAGATATCTTTGTTTTCTCCCTCTTCCCTTGTTTTCCTCCACCGATTTTTTGCTTCAGTCCTCTCTCTGCTTTTCGACGTTCGGTCTATCTGGCTGTCTGTCTGTCTCTGTCTCTCTGTTTCTGTCGGTCTATCTCTCCCTTCGTGTGTTTTTTTCGTTTTTTTTTTTTTTTTTTTCGCTTGTTAGACGATTTCGGGAAAGAGAAATTCCGACGGTGTGACGGGCGGTGCGCACAAGGCCTTTTCTCTCCATTGGTTGTTTGTTCGATGATGTATTTTATCGCTGCGCTTTCCTTTGCTTCTTCTCCTCTCCCTTCCTCTACTCCTACTCTCCTACTCTCTTTCCTTCTCTCTTCTACTCCCCTCCCTCGCGTCTTCTTTATCTCCTATCATCTGTCATCTACTTTGCCCTCGCCTTTTTCTCACTTTTTCTTGTTTTCTTTGTAAAAAAATGGACCACTTCTCGATTTATGCGTGTAATCCTTGCGCAGGGACCTTGCTAATCTTCTCTGTATCGTTCCAGTCCCTTTGACGGATGTCCAGAAGGACTCTTTTTCTCAAACACTTTGCTCTCGTCCTCTTTCCTACTCTTCCGTACTTTCCTTCTTTTGCTGCCCCAGTCCATTTATTCCGTCCTTTTTTATATTTTATTTTTTTATTAGTTTTTTTTTTATTTGATCTTAGTATTGATCTTAAAATTTTTTAATCCCCTCTCGTCTGTCCTCTCTCGTCTCCAACTCGACTGCTCAGTATCTCTGTTCTGCCTGTCTGCCTGTGTCTGCCTGTGTGTCTGCCTGTCTGTCTGTCTGTTTGCCTCTGTCTCTCTCTCTCTCTCTCTCGTGCGCCCGTCCGTCCTTGTCCTCTTTGCTTTTTATCCTCTCCTGGTCCTGTTTTCTCTCTTCGCGTCTTCTTTTTCCCAATTTTGATTTTGTATGCTTTTGGTCTCTCCAGTGTGTTTTTCTCCTGTTTTCTCCTGTTGAAGATATTTACTCTCTTTTCGGCCCTCCCGACTTCTTTTGTGCGATCTTCACTGTTCCGTGTTTTTTCTTATCTTTGGTTAGGGGACTGGTCCATTATTGAACGTTCTACATGTATCTGGACTGACAGGGGCCAGATACATTCGGGCTGAAAGAATGTTATGAATGTATTGGGACAATTACCAGCTGCAGATACAGTTCGAATGCTGTGCAGTGGATCAACGCCCTATATCTAGATCCGCTTAGGTGTAGGAGTCAGCACTCTCCCAATTCTTGTCTTTTATTTTTCGAACTCTGCTTCCAATGTAGCTTACCAAATCTCTTCCGCTGCTTAGAAAAAAAAACCCTCTTCCACATGAGTCGCGGAGAGCATGCCATCTCTTCTAATTTGATAGGCACAGAGAGAGAGAGAGAGAGAGAAACTACTTTCCAAGGAAAGGGCTAGTGGATGAACACTTCATTGAACTTTCACGGACTCTTAAGTTCAAATTGACAGCAAGTAACATTATCTCAATTGACATTAACATAATAAGGATATTCTTTCTATTTCAGGATGCATTTGATCAAGGATGTATAAGGGCACACGACCTTACCCAAATTGAGCAGTACCCTTCAGAAAACTCATTGAACTTTCACGGACTCTTCAGGATGCATTTGATCAAGAATGGATAAGGGCTCACGACCTTGCCCAAATTGAGGGATACCCTTCAGAAAAGTGGTGGGCTTTACCCGCAGCAACCCTGCGACCCTAGAATACTGTCTAGTTCAACTCCTAAACAGTAACAAAAGTAAAGCCCTTGTTGTGGAGAAATAGCA